ATTCAGGATGTTCATCACATATGTCTGGAAGGAAAGACTGGTTTGTCAACATAAAGCCCTCAATGAAAAATATGGTAAAATTTGTAAATGACAATAACCTAATAGCTGAAGGTATTGGTGATGTTATGATTATGAGGAAAGATGGTAAAAGGTCAGTAATCTCAAATGTGTTGTACACACCAGGCATGAAGAGAAATTTGCTCAGTATAGGGCAGTTGGTCGAAAAGAATTATAAAGTGTCAATCGAAGATAAGATGATGAGATTCGTTGATACAAATGGGAGATTAATCTTGAAGGCTCTTATGTCTCAGAATCGAACCTTCAAGATTGAACTAAATGTGATAGAGCACAAGTGACTTTCTACTGCAGCTAGCAGAGATGAATGGATATGGTATTATAGACTAGGTCATCTCAACTTCAGAGATATCAGAGATTTGAAGAGAAGAAATATGGTTTCAAGATTTCCAGAAATCGACATTCCAAATGAGGCATGTGAGGAATGTGTGAAGGAGAAGAAACATAAGAATAGCTTCAGCAAGGATGCAAGAAGCAGGTCGAAGGCTAGTCTTGAAGTCATATAATTTGATGTATGTGGACCAATCCAGGTGGATTTGATGGGAGGTAACAAATACTTTATTACATTCATAGATGATTTCACTCGAAAGCTATGGACTTATCTGATCAAGAAGAAAAGTGAGGTGATCGAAGTATTTTCCAAGTTTAAGTCTATGGTCGAAAGACAAAGTGGTCAAAAACTCAATGTTTTGAGAACTGATGGTGGTGGAGAATATGTGTCAAAAGACTTCGACAGGCTATGTGAAAAGGAAGGGATTGTACATGAGGTGGTGCCACCTTATACTCCACAACAAAATGGAATTGCAGAAAGGAAGAATCGAACCATCATGAATATGGTACAAAGTATGTTGAAAGGCAAGAACCTACCTAAAGAGTTTTAGGGTGAAGTTGTTTCGACTACAACATACATTTTGAACAGATGTCCTACAAAGAAGCTAGAAGGAATTACTCCAGAAGAATGTTGGTCTGGTGTGAAGCCTAGCTTGAGTCATCTGAAGGTATTTAGATCTATAGCACATAGAAATGTGCCAGATCAGTTGAGAAGAAAACTTGATGATAAGTCAAGTCAAATGATTCTAGTTGGATACCATTCGACAAGAGGTTACAAGTTGTTCGATCCAGAGAACAATAAGATTGTGATCAACAGGGACATGATCATAGATGAGTTTAAAGAATGGGATTGGACTGAAAATGTCAAGAAAGATTCAGTGGGAATCATATTTGAAGAACCAGAAACTCAAGTCGAAAGAGAAGTTTGACAAGAGGAACCAGTAGATATACCAAGTATAAGCAGACCTCAAAGAACAAGACGCATGCCTGCAAGATTGCAAGATTGTGTGATTACATCAGATGATGTGATAGATAATGAAGGTGAGCTGGTACATTATACTTTCTATGCAGATATCGAACCTGTTAATGCAGCTGAAGCATTGAAATATTCAAAGTGGGTGAAAGAAATGAATAAAGAAGTGAAGTCTATCGAAGACAACAACACTTGGTCACTTATCAAATTTCCTCAAGGAAAGAAGGCAATTGATGTCAAGTGGTATACAAAGTGAAAACGAATTCGAAAGGGGAAGTAACTCGACACAAAGTAAGACTTGTGGTGAAAGGATTTCTACAGAAAGAAGGAATAGACTTCGATGAAGTTTTTGCACCTGTTACTAGGATCGAAACAATCAGATTGGTTGTTAGTCTAGCAGAAATAGACAGTTGACACATGTGTCAGATGGACGTGAAGTGTGCATTCCTAAATGGACCCTTAGATAAAGAAGTCTATGTCAAACAACTAGTTGGGTTTGTGAAACATGACGAAGAAAGAAAGGTGTACAGTCTGCATAAATCCCTGTATGGATTGAAACAAGCTCCAAGAGCTTGGAATATGAAAATTGATAATTTCCTAAGGGAGAAGGGATTTGTGAAGTGCACAACTGAACATGGAGTATATGTAAGAAGAAGCAAGAGTGAATTGCTTATACTATTTCTCTATGTAGATGATTTGTTGATAACAGGTAGCTGTAAAAGTGAGATCGAAGACTTCAAAGGTGATCTCAGCAAGGAATTCGAAATGTCTGATTTGGGTGAGATTTCATATTTCCTTGGTATCAAATTCTACAAGAGCAATAGAGGTTTAATGATGTATCAAAGAAGATATGAAGGAGAAATTCTCAAGAGGTTTGAGATGGAAGAATATAACTCAACTTCGACACCTGCAGAACCAAGACTACAACTGTCGAAAGATGCAGATGAAGATGATGTCGACCCAATCCAATACAAAAGACTTATTGGATCATTGAGATACCTTTGTCATACAAGGTCTGACTTAACATATAGTGTAGGTATTGTAAGTAGATTCATGCAGAAGCCAAAAGTATCACATCTAGCAGCAGTGAAGAGGATACTAAGGTATCTCAAAGGAACTTTCGATTATGGCATTTTGTTTCCTGCAGTTGATAAAGGAAAAGAATGCAAGTTAGTGAGATACACTGATTTGAGTTGGTATAGTGATTCTGAAGATCGAAAGTCAACAACAGGATATGTGTTTATGCTACGTGGTGCATCAGTTGCTTGCAATTCAAGAAAGGAACTAGTAGTGGCATTATCATCATGCGAAGCATAATACACAGTTGCTTCTCTTTGTGCATGTCAAGCAACTTGGATGGTGAACTTGGTCGAAGAGATAACAGGGAAAGATCATGGAGCAATTACTATGAAGATCGACAACATGCCAGCTATCAATCTGGCGAAGAACCCAATAACACATGTCGAAGCAAGCACATCAAAATGAGGTTCTATTATCTTCGAGAGCAGGTAGCAGATGGGAAGATGAATTTGAAACAATGTAGAACTGAGAATCAGATTGCAGACATCATGACGAAGGTAGTGCAAGTCGAAGTATTCAAAAGGCTATGAGTCATGATGAATATAGATATTTTTGACACAATGAATTAGGTGGTGTCTTAAATTGTAATTCATAGTGTCAAAAAGATTATATTTATTTTAGATTTAAATAGATTTGATTTAAGTCTAGAATAGATTAGATTTGATTTAGTAACAAAATAGATATTTTGGGCCTTGGGCTTAGGGTACAAGCTCAGTTATAAATAGAGGGAGTAACCCCCATTTTTTGTAAGCAAGTCAAGCAAGTCATTCACGGTATTTTGCAGTTACAAAGTGAATAAGAAAGTTTTCACAGTTTATGAGCAGAGAGAAACTCTGCAGAAATTATTTGTCTTGTCTTCTTTCTTTGTTTGTCTCATAATTAAATTATCATTGTGGTAGAAATTCATCATAGATTTTAATGAATTTCTAATAAATTAGCTTATTGTAAATTGTATTTTTATACTAGGATGAATTTTCATAACCTTTATGAGTCTATAAATTAAAACGAGTTTTCAAAATTGTAATTAAACCTTAAATTTTATTAGATTTTTTTACTCAATATATATTTTAATTATAAATCGTTTTGAAAAATATTTGTAGTATAAATCGTATTACAATATCAATAAACATTAACTGATTTTTTTATATTATTAAATGTTTATTATTCTCTATTTTTAAACTTTTTAAATTTAATTTTGTAATATAATTAATTAAAGACAATTTTATAAATTCCTTCATAATTTGTGTTTTTAATATAAGAAATATTTTATTTGTTAATACATATGAGAATATCAAATTGACTTATATGAAAGTATTAAAAAACTTTTATGTGTCATACTTCATACACTCCTTCTGATTTTTTATTATAAGTCATTTTGATACGCTCATATGTATTAACAAATAAAATCTTTCTTGTATCAAAACCACAAATTATAAAGGATTTTATAAAATTGTCTATAATTAATTATATTACAAAGTTAAGTTTAAAATGTTGAAAAATAAAGAATAATAAATATTTAGTAATATAAAAAATTACATTAATGTTTTATTGATATTGTGATACGATTTATACTACACAAATATTTTTCAAAACGATTTATAATTTTAAAAAAAATATTGAGTAAAAATCTAATAAATCTAAGATTTAATTACAATTTTGAAAACTCATTTTAATTTATAGACTCATAAAGGTTATGAAAATTCATCCTAGTATAGAAATACAACTTAGAATAAGCCAATTGACGAAGACTTTGATGATTAGGCGATCAAACATTAGTGCACCCAATAATACAACAAAATTCTTTGGTTTTCCATTCTAATCATTTCATCTGTTTGTCTCTTTCTCTTTCTAGGTGTACCCACTTTTTTTAATTAAAATTAAAATAAGTAAAGCAACTTTAACAAAGAAATTAAAGACCTCAAGTCAACAAAATAGTAATTAATTATATAATTGGTCTTCCTTGCTCCCTAAGATTAACAGCATATATCACGTTTCATTCTCTTCTTGCTAATTCAACTTCAACCATTTTCTCTTAACAAGTCTCTCTTCTCTCAATCCTCATTATTGAATTTGCCACCTTTCCAAGTAAGCATGTATTTAGATTTTAAATTTCCTTTTGCTACTTGATATTTTAACTTATTTGAATTAATTTGCTACCAAGTTTTGAATAAAGGTCATGGTCATTTTGGGATCGTTTCGTTTAACTATCACTTCAAGGTTTTTGTAACTTTAGAAATTCTATGTATAGTTTATGCAGTAAGCCGTTTTTTAAAACCTTGTTTGAGAACAAATTTTTCAATTAGTTTTTATTTATTTTTTTCTTTTTTCTCAAATAATTTATCAATTAAAATTCATTTTTTTTATTATGAATAAAGTAGAATGTTGTAGGTTCAAATCCGCACTCTTATCTATAATATTTCTATATAACTATTAACTAAGCTTGCTTAAGAGAACATATAGTTTTATTCTATTTTAATTAATGTTTTGATAAATTTATCGCATAATAAACAGGAACAAAGTCATCACTCGTCACTCATCAATCATGGCTGCTTATTATATTGTTACTTCTGAGAACACAACTGATGCTAGCGAGAAGGAATATAGCATTGTTCACTTCCAAAATCCCATCAACAACTTCAGCATCAAAAAAATACCCATTGCTCAAATTTATAAACAAACACTATTTTCAATATTCAATTTCCTAAAACCCTACAAAATTACAACTATAGAAGAAAATCTTTCTATAGACAAATGCAAAGATGTGTATTTGCTATCAAGAGATGACATAAGAAATCATCGAAGTAAATATAATTTTCTTCATATTGGGTTGGTACAATTTTCTATAGATAACACCTTATTAACCAATGAAGAAACACTTAATGTGAAAATAAGTTTAAGAGATTCGAAATTCCCAAAATTCGAGGAATCAATCTTGGTTCGTTTGGATTCAGATTTTCGTAAGGGTGATGTGAACTTTAATTGGTTTCCAAATTTCTCGACGCGCTTGTCTGATCTAGCGAATTCGAACGCCTTGGTCGTGACTATTGATGTTCCAGAGGATTCTGTGAATCTAAAAGTTAGATATAGGGTATGTTATAAATTAATGAAGAAATCTTTTAAAACTGATTATCTATTTGAAAATCCTGTGATAGAGGTGGATACTGAGAAAACAAATGTCGTGGTTCCAAAACCTAGTAATAATCATAGTTGAGTGTATAATCTATGAAAAGTTGAAGTTGTGAAGATGGAAAAAATGAATATGCAAGTTTGTAATATTTATGAGTGGCTTGTAACATGTATAGTAATTATGGTTTCGATTTTATGCATTTTAGTTTTAGTTTATAATTGATCTTCTTATGTTATTTAGTTTGAATTTGTTGTACATTAGAATTGTGTATTAGAACTGAATATTTTTGTTGTGAAATGGAAGTATAAGTTGAACAAATGTTTTGTTTGTGGGGGACAAAGATAAAGAATGTTTATAATCTATTAAGATGGTTTATCTTTTCGTTTTGGTTAGCACTTTACAAGAAGAGAGCAACACTTCTATGGGCACAATTATAAATCTCTTGTTTTGGGCACACTCACATAAATTAAAAGTAAGAGAGAAATATTTAATTTATCATTATTATTATTAATATAATAATATTTTTTATTTTTTATTTATAATTTGTGTGAGTGTGCCTAATTTTAAATAGTAACCATATAAGTCTGAGCCACAAGAAGATGCCCCCTTTTTTTTTGAGGTGGTTTGTTGTTGGGTTCGATTTGGAAGAGATGAGCCTCTTTTAAAATAGTCGTCTTTTCTTAGCAATTCATTTAAGATTTTTGAAAAAAAATCTTTTTAAGTATATGATAATAAATCTTATTTTGTATCAAAATTGGTTGCAGTCAATCAATCACTATTTTCCAACATGTGAGGTGACACACTAGTACAAAAATACTTTTTTAAATAGTTTTTTAAGTTGGTTAACATATTATCCAATTTAACAAACGATACAGTGATAAATTTGTAAATATTTTAAACTTTGTTAAATCAGATTTCCTTTTAGAAGACTTACAAAATATTTTTTAAATGTAATTTTTAATATTATGTAAATAAAAGTCTTCAAACATGTTGTCCTTGGTCTATCTTTTCTTGACTCTTCCTCTTCAAAAATCATTTGGTCGTCTCACCCCTTTTCACTCTCTTCACATTCGTCGTCCTCCCTCACCTTATCAACACCATTTGACCCCCCCCTCTCTTCACCATTGTTGTGGCCCTCTCTTCAAGCTAGGGTGACTTACATTTTCCATTTCTACATACGTTTTCCTCACTCAATGAGAAGGTGTGTTCACTGCAAATCGTTTCTCTCTTCTTTATTTTTCTGCAAGATAAGTTAGGTAACTTCCTAGTTCTATTCAAATCGCTTCTCTTTTTCCTTGATTATTTATTGGTATTGATGTTGATTGTGTGTATGATTCTAATAGGTTTTATTCTGCAACTAACAATCATGGTTGATGCATGCCTTAAAATTATATTACGTAGATTTAGGGTTAATGAATTTGGAGTTATGATGTGGATTTTGTGTTAACGTATTATAGTAGGAAAGTTGAAACGAAGGCTGCAAAACATTTTCAGTTATGAGTCTGCAAAATACTATGTTGTGCAACTTTGTTGTGATAAGGATTCTTAGATAATAAGGGTGGAATTTGGTGTTGTCTTTTTTAGTTGTTTAGGTATTTGGTGGATACTAACATGGTTTCATTTGGCTTACCTATGTTTTGACCCTATGCAGCGAACATTCTTTGGTAATTTAAAAATGAAACTATCTTTCACTACAAGAAAACCTTAAGTTTGCAATGGATTTCTGCCAAAGGGTTAAACCCCTCGCAAATTAAATTAAGTCATCACGGGTTAAACCTCTCGTAATACAAGAAGTATTTTTTTACAAAGGGTAACCTCTCGTAAAACTTAAGGCGAAAATGTTTTAATTACTGTTGTCCATCGCAAGGGGTAACCCCACACATAAGTAAATTTGAGTTTTGAAATAATGGCGTTGTTGGGGTTACCCCTATCATAATTAATGGTGCGTTTAATTTTTTAATTGTGAAGAAAAATGGTCAGATTGGAAAAGTGAATGGCTCAGACTTATATTTTGATTTGACTTGATGTCATATGCGTTCCAAGGGGTTTCCTTGATAATATTTGACCGTTGAGCATTGGCATGGGTTACCTCTAGTAAAATGTTACCGTTTTCAACATTTCACTCATTAAAACCCATTATCCAACATCAAAACTCCTTAAATTTTCTTTTCCTGTTTTCCTCTCTCTATATTTCTATTTATGTTCCACATTTCTCCTTTCCAATTTCTTCTCTTATTTATTCATACATATTTTCCTTCATTCTTCTCCCATATTCATTCATACTACTACATTAACGTTTTCTATTTTCTTCATTCATTTCAGAAGTTTAGCTCAACACTGATTTTATCAATAACAAAGTACACTTTTAAATTTAATTTTTATTTATATATTTTGAGTTGTCGTAGCTGTTTAGATAAATAAATAGTTTGATATGAAAAAAAATATGAGAGAGAAAGCGCTCGTGTTCTCTTCTCTCTCCTAATTTTCTTCATTGTTCTTTTGGGTTTGATCTAACGTTCATATATCGCGGTCCCGGTATGCAGAAGGCTAAAAGAAGAAGTTTTCGCTTTGTTGTTCAAAGGTGGGATGTTTATCTAGGAAATCACAGAGAGGACGGTGCTGAGAAAAAAAACTTGCTTCTATTTTCTTCTCCAAAATTCCAGATCGGACTAAGGGGGAGGATATTTATGATTTGTTCGGTTGGATTGGGAAGGTTGTTGAAGTTGTAATCACTCTAAAAAAAGTTTGGTAAAAGGTACGGTTTCACTAGGTTTATGGAGGTGGAAGACTTAAAGATGCTGGTTGATAGGTTAGATAATATGATGATCGATGGTAAGAAAATCTACGCCAATGCTCCTAGGATCGAGAGGAGTGGAGGAAGAGGGGGCAAGTTAGTGAGGTGGGAAGATAGAAGGAGCATCACATATTCTATAAACTTTATAGTTAGAAATGGTTCCTTTGATGTTCGGGTGGGGGGTTTTTCGTTTGTTGATGTGATAGTCAATAGAAATAAAGTTTGTGTTCAGACTTCTGCCACTCGTTTGGAGTTCTCGGCGAGGGAGGACATGGCTATGAGATTGAAAAGTCTTTAGTTGGGGAAGTTCATATTCCCGGTTCTTCTTAAAATATGAAAACTAACTTTGAGATGGAAGGGTATTTTCAAGTTAAGGTCTCTCCGATGGGACCAAATTTGTGCCTACTTGAAGAAGTGGATGAATGGGAGATTGCAGACTTGCTAAATGAAGGTTTTTCTTGGGTGAATCGATGGTTCAACAATATCATACCTTGGAAGGTGAATGATGTAGACAGAGAGAGGGTTTTGTGGATTCGTATTTTAGGAATCCCTTGCTAAGCTATGTGCTATGAATTCTTTGAATTGATTGCTAACTCTTTTGGTTCCTATATTTATGCTGACGACTTCTCCGATAATCGGCTCGATGAGGCAAGAACCATGGTGAAAGTTCTGATCTTTTTTCGTCTTCAGGAACAGATGGAAGTGGTCATTGGTGGTGTTACTTTTATGTTGTATCTAAAGGAGGAGGAGTTAGGTTCATGTTGGGGAGTGTATGGAAAATCGAAACGTGAAGGTAACAATTCCATTCTTTCAAGTTTTGTTGAAGAATGGCCTGAAGATGACGATAGCGATGGAGGAGGTGATTCTGAGGAGGTGAGAAACTTTGCTTCGGTCAGGGAAGAACCGGTGGACGATCCGGTAGTGGTGTTAGTCGATGGTGATACCAAAGGACCTGTGGATAAAAAATTGTTTTCTCTTGATATATTAGATAGAGATGTGTCACATTAGATAGAGACGTGTCACATAATAAAGGGGTTGAGGTGAAAGCAGGTACTTTTGACACTTCTATTGTCAGATGTAGGGAGATTAAGTGTCCATCAAGTAGTAGGAGTAGGAATGAGGAGGAAATTTCTGCGTTTTTAGGGTCAAAGGACACGCGAGTGGGGTGTACATATGAAACAGTTGGCAACATTCCTTTACACAATCACGTGATAAGAAGGAGATTTCCTAAAAGAATGAAATTTAAGAATTTTTTTGATTTTACAGGGCCCACTAAAAATAAAAGGCACAAAATTAAAAAGAAGGTGATTTCTCACAATTATTTTTCCTTGCCTAACTGTGTAGTAGTTGGGGGGGTCAACAATGTTAGGCTAGCGATTACCACTTGCTCTTCTTGGTCGTTTTAAGGAGGTGTAAAATCTTGTAGTTGTTGATATGGAAATCAATCTGAAGATTCAAATATTTTGAGGTGAAATTTAAGGTGGAGGGAGACTTTGGATTCTAATGTAGGTGATATATTATGGAATGCAATCGCTAAACTTGGTGTGGTAGCGGAGGCCTCTAAAAAAGATTATATAAAGAAAATTGAAGAAATAGAGAGGAATGATAAAAGGACGGAGGGAAGGTGAATTTAAAATTGTGTCAATGATTATTGGTTCATTAAATATTAGAGGGGGTGCTAGTAATATTAAGAGGAGAATATTTAGTCATATTATTAAGAAAGGGATGGCATATATTTTTCTTATTTAGGAGACAAAGCTCCCTTCGGTGTTGGACTTTTTAGCGAGGAGTTTTTAGGGGTCTGAAGAGATTGGTTATTCTTTTTCTGGTTCCGAAGGTATGTCAGGTGGTTGGTTGATTTTATGGAAGGTGAGTAGTGTCAAGGTTCTTTGTAGTTTCCGCAGAATTGGCTTCTTGGGGATTAAATTTAGATGGCAAAATTCTTTGTATTATGTTATCAATGTTTGTTCGCCTTGTTAGATGGTGTTGAAGAGAGATTTATGGAGGAAGTTATTGCAGCTAAAATCTAGGTTTAGGGATGGAGGTTGGTTGATAGGAGGGGATTTCAACACAGTGAAGAATCATAATGAGAGAGTTGGAAGATCCTTTTTTATAGCAATATCGAATGAGGGGAGTTATAAAATTTCTTTGATGATAGTTTGTTAATTGATGTTCCTACTAAAGGCAAGAGAATTTCTTGGTTTAGTGGGGACGGGAAAGCTAAAAGTAGGATTGATAGATTCTTGGTGGAGAACAACATTATTAGAAATTGGGGAGTGGTGGGGCAATT